CCCTCAATCGCGTTGATGTTCTGGCCCAATACGAGTGGCCCTGGTGACCCCGCTCACGTTCATTCGCATGGAAAAGCGTCGCTGGTCTGGAGACGGCGCTCGAGCGGGACCATTTACATCACCATTTAATTATGCGAAGCTGGAAAATTAAACCAATCATGGCGCAAGAGGAACTTAAATGATTCAGTTTTTTGGGCGCGTCGCATGACATGTGGTATGTTGCGGCGGTTGTTCGCCCTTTTCGAGGCAAGAAAGCAAGACGCACATTGAAAACAATCGCTGAAGAAAAGACAAAGCAGTGCGCAATGTAGCGTTTGATGTGTACAGTGAATTTACTGTCCTTGCCAGCGTCAGCCACATCAGAATTGGGTCCTTGCTGTCTTTTTGGCCCTTTGGCATTTTCATGGTTCCATGAAATTCCACGAAGGGTTCTCAAAAGACTCTTGGTGGTTTTGGCCTTTCCTGAAAATAAGTGGGGTGGGGTGGACATCTCCCACAGGCAGAATTTAATTCTTGGTCCAGTGGTGGCACACCCAATGCTGCCAACAAGGCACGTTCATCTGCAGTGAATTTTCTGTCCTTGCGAGCGTCAGCCACATCAGATCAGGGTCCTTGGTGTCTCTTTTGGCCCTTTGGCATTTTGATGGTTCCATGAAATTCCATGAAGGGTTCTCAAAAATGGGGTGGGGTGGGCATCTCCCACAGGCAGAATTTAGTTAGTGGCCCAGTGGTGGCACACCCAATGCTGCCAACAAGGCACGTTCATACGGTGGTTTTGAGCACTCGATAGCTCAAAACCATCGGTATTTACGACGTGGTTTCCTGGCGTAAAAGCACAAAGAACTTAAAGTAGCAAGAAGCTACTGTACTAGGTGGGGGCCGTCGCTATTAGGTTGGAAGCCATCACTACTAGCTAGGTGGAGGCCTTTGCTGTGATGTTCAAGGCTACTACATTAAGAACACAAAATGCAAAAATAGGACAATCTGGGTCTTCAAGTGGCCAGGTCAAGAAATAAACTAAATAGCCGGCTGCTTGGGTTGGACTACCCTTTGTTTAGTTTGCGCATAACTCAGCCAAGTATTTAAACCAATGGTAATTCAGAACTCCCACCAAAGGACAATTTATTTTCAAAATTAAATCAAAGTAGCTGAGCTCTGGTATATTTTAAAAAAAGAAAAATAGCAATTTGTCTCTTCTCACTACAAATGATTTAGTTTAGAAAATTAAACTGTATGTTTTGGGTTATTGTTTTAACTAATTGAATGGCAGCTCATTGAGTTGGCTGGACCTCAGTGGATTCATGTTCGAACTCATTGAGTTCTTATTTAATTATGGTTTTCAATAACTGAGGGACCTCTATTTAATATACAGAAATTAAACAGCTGGGGGACCCTGGTCCCCACCATTAGTGCTAGGTTCATAAAAAGGACCGCTCAGATTTGCGCAGCGCAAAGAGGGGTTGGGGCAGGCGCGAGGATTGCCTTCATCTTGCCCACCAAAGTTGTCCAGGATGACTTCAGAAGTGTCTCGCCTTCATCAAGGGTCCAATCGCATCTCTGCGCTTCGAGCTGCCGGGAAATCCGTGCTTCGACCTGCGCAATTTGTTACGCCTATAACCTGCCATGAGATCCCCACTTCAAGGCTCATGAAGTGTTTGTTACGCCTGCCACGAAATCTGCGCGGCAGGATGCCTCACGGCGCCTGCCGCGAAATTAGAGCGCGCCATAGGGCGCCCAAGACCGCCGCCATGTCCCACACGCTCCGCCTGCCACGAAATCTGCCCATCGAAGAGAAATGCCACGCGCCGATGAGCGCCGCCGATCAAACAAACGCCGGCTGTATTCTATCCCCGCCGCAATTTGGGAAAAATGTATTGAACATCGAATTTCAATCCGTCGCCTACCTAAGAGCATTCTTGCTTTTGTTGTAAGCAGAGCCGTCCCGCTATAAAAGTGATGATGTCGGAATGAGTGCCAGTGACGCTAGGAATCTGGCAATTGGCACATGCATTGCACAGCATGCTACTAGTTTATGCTCGCGGGTCAGAGAAAGTACCGGGTGCCGAAGTCGGCTTCATACAACCCAACCGTTCGAACGCGCTGGCGGGCTTGCTAGTGGAAGGTTTTGAACTCCTTTGAGTTCTCAACCTAGCTTCGGTCAAGATCAGCCGCGTGTCCTTGTTCTGACTGTCATCAATCTTGCTCATCGCCATGTTTTTCGCATGTTTCTGCTGGGCGGACCCGGTTGAATTTGCCCGAAGCTCTTTTGGCGGGGCACGCCTCCTTGGATTGCGCGATTGCTTGGTGCCTCTTTCGGCCTTCGACTGTACCACTCAGCGCTATACGCGCGCAGGCGCAGCTTCATGGATCTGACAAGACTGAAGCCCGTTGCCGGGATGGATGGCGCTCCGCCACAATGGGCCCTGTAGATATTTGCAGATCATTGCATTCTAGCATAGGCGCTGGGTTTATGACCGTTTTTGTGTGGGAGCAGAAACATGCACGTTCCTTAGCGGATTATTTTGTCTATTAGTGCTTGAAACACGTCATATATTTGTATATATAGGAGCTGAGGTTTGGGATCGAGGCCTGGAGACCTCAACACCCAGCAAAAAATGTCAGCGTGAAAACGCCCTGGAAATATGCATTTTTCCACCTGTGCTTGAGGTCTCCTGGTGCCGCGTTTTGCTCAAAGCAAAGGGGGTGGCATGACGACGAGTGAACAGAAGAACAAGCAGTGCAAGCAGCTAAACAAGCTAACTCTGCAAACATGGAGAGATACCAGGTGGCGCCCACTCCACTCCTCCGGGCTCACACTCGCCTACTGTTCCCTCCGCTTGGCATGGAGATGTGACTCCGTCCGCCGCTCCGATCCAAAAAGAACCACGTGACAATACCGCCCCCCAAAATCCTGGAGAAAGCAAACTTGGAAGGCCACCAGCCTTCAAATTCTTTTTAGAATTTAGAAACGCTCTCTTTTATGCCTTTTCCATCTTTCTGGGGGGAGGGGTGGAAGGAATATACCCAATAGACCAGGTTAGACTATTTTTTGTCTAAGATCTATTTTGTAAAAAAATTGTCTATTAGATAACTTTTTTGTTGCCTAAGACAACATGATTTTTGGCTAAGACAACTTTTCAAAATTTGTCTAAGTCTATTTTGAAGAAACAGTCTTAGACTATTTTTGGCTGTGTCTGAGACAATTTTTTGTCTCAGACAAATCAAAACTTCCTCAAAACTACCACAGGCACTGAGGAAGTTTACTTGCAGTTTCATCATGGGCATGAGGAAGTTTATGTTACAAAATTTGCATTTTATTGCAGTTTCAGTCCATGTGCATGACAAACTTCCACACTTGCAGGTTGAAACTGCCTACAAACTTCCATCAAACTACCTCCAAACTGCCACAAAAAGAAAGGTAGTTTGAAGGAAGTTTTGAAAAACAGACGAGGTAGTTTCGAGGAAATTTCCTTGAAATTTCCTCGTTTGCAGCCGCGAAAATTTGTCTAAGACAGCAGACTTTTGTCTATTAGACAACTTTTGTTTTGTCTATTAGATAACTTTTCGTCACATAATGTTGTCTAAGACAAATCACAAAAATTTATCTAATAGACAAATTTTAAGAAAGTTGTCTATTAGACAATTTTTTGTCTAACCTGGTCTATTGGGTAAAGGGCCAGCGCCAGAGGTGTCTAAGGGAAACGGTGCCTGAGGCTTCTCTAGAAAGATCCAGCCGTTTACTGCAAAAAATGTAGAATCACCCCTCTGGCTCTGACAAGCTGGCTCCTTCTTGACAGGCGATTGACCCAAAGGAGCTTCCTCATCAGGTCCTCAGGCGATCTTGCAAGGTTGCGACTCCTGGCATAAGAAAGGGAAAGCGCCAGCAACCTTGAAAAGTTGTGAAATCTGAAAATCACATTTTTCAAGTAACTCCGGTGATGCTGCTTAAGCGGCATGTGAAAATGTGAATTTTGACATGTATGAATCGCTGTTTGCACCCTCCAGTGCAGCAAAGCAGAAGCCTTCAAAAATCCAGTGGAGTGGCTGAATCAAGATTATTAGAAGGTAATTGCGCAAGCCGCGTGCCACTCTGCACATCGCTGTACAAAATCTTCATTTGTCATTGAGCCAACTAGATACAGTGTAAACCACATAAACGGCTAAAGATGACACTGTGTGGGTTTGCTTGGCGGGGTCAATGCCTCCGGCCGCTCCCCGGTACGGCGCCATTAAATCCTTGAGAAGAAAAAGATGTGCGCCGATATCTTGAGTGGCTCGAGGTACAGGACTTTATTGTTTTGGTGAACCTTGAACTCGGAAAATATATGATGCACTTGGCTCATCCAAACACCTTAGCCGCCTTAGCCCCAGAAAATTTCGGAGCCTCAGACCGTGCAAACGGTCAGGTGTCCAAGAAACCAACTACGCGATGAAAAGGAAGTTGAGGTGCTGGACCAGTCGGCAATCAGTGATTCCAAGGAAGATTGGCGGGCAAGGACATGGCTGTGGGGCGTGCTACTACGGTCAGCGATTCAATTTCAGAGCCGTTGTCTGATAGCTCAAACCTATCTGTGGGCGGATTGAGCGTTGCCAAGGGCTCAAGGAAAAAACTTGTGTATAGAGCCATCCACACTGCGGAAGTGGGCGTAGTTCCTGAAGTCCTCTTCAGGGGGGGGTCCGTAAAAGTGAGAGATCTTTTCGCCTTTTTCGGGAGGAGTTGTTTGCCGCAAAAGTGGAGGATCTGACACTTTTATTTGGGGGCAACGCCGACGCGATGAAGTTCTCACAGTGCCCGAGGTCAGAACACTGCTCTGGCTTTAGGTGCCCACATCAGGGTGCCCTCTAAGAACACA